ACAAATTGAATAATTCTTGTACCCTTCTTTCAACAGGTACTCACTCAAGCAATTATACCACATGCATCCTGATTGTTTCAATCCGTATAAGAATTTTTGAAGCTTTATTTAATAAATTTCTTGAAAACCTTAATATGCTTCAGAACAATTTAAATCCTTCAATAATTTTCATTATACGCATATCACGTTTTTCTTGTATTGCCAGATTAAAACATGAAATGGCGACATCCACCACAGGAGAATATGTCTCTATATAATCAATGCCAAGATATTTAAAAATCTTTATGTGACACAAGTCGTCTTTATGTCTATTGACTTGACCTNCTTCTTGTGACACAAGTCGTCTTTATGTCTATCGACTTGATTTTTTTTTCACACAAGAACACATTTATACCTCCACTGACTTTATACTTTCAGGTGTTGGGACTATCTGTCCAACTTCATATTTTTCAAGTGAAATCAATTTTCATTGCGTATTTTTCATTTGGCCAATCATTTATCTGTCCAAATTTTATGACAGATTTGAGCTCAAGATCCTCGTCAATATTAATAATATTGAGCGCTATATTATATTAACAATATCGTCGACGATCATTTTATATCGGTTCTATTATTACCCAATAAAGACATAACTTATTGAGATCTCTTTATCTTATTATTTTCAGGTACCTGAGCCTTTCCCATGAGGTCTTATGAAGTGTTATGTCGTGGTGCTCTTCTAGAGCACTTGCCTCCTTATTATGACCATCTTGAACATTTGCTCCTCTCCTTCTTCAAGGAGTTTTATCTTTGGAACCGATTAGTCTATTATGCTTTATGCATGCCATGGACTCTATTCATTATGAACTTTATTTTATTTGGAGCATTAGCAGCTGAATATGACATTTAGCTTTGGGTCAGCATAAATGCCTGACAATATTTTTTAAATGAATTAACACTTGAACTTCAAGTTCACATATTCTCTTACGAGGATCTCGATGTACTCATAATAATTCATTACATGCATTACTGTTTCAACTGCCCATTTTCTCCCTATATTGTTGGAATCACCAACACATATCCCTAGCCTTATTTGGGGATCCATCTTTGTGCATTGTGGTGGAATAATTAAATCATATAGCACATTCATATTTCTAGATGGAAATTATTTGGTTCCTGACCCTGAACCGATTGTGATAGGGAGAACTTATCATAACTTGGCTAGATGCGTACAAGTGTTGTTGTATATTAAATAATACATCACATACCAAATTTTATTTTGGCAATTTTGTTCTCATAACCAATGGTTTAGATATAATTGGAGGCATACAATTTCTGCTAAACCAACTTGGATTTAAACCAGTATTATCAAGATAAATCATCATAATTTATATTTTGGAACTGTGCTCTAATAATTTAAGCAATCAATCTTGCAAAAGCCAAACTGCAAGTTGATAACAAATACACATGTGACCATAGAATAGATGCATCTATTAAAATAATATAATAGTAAACGGTCCACATGAAAGGTGATTGGGCCCATATATTTATCACATTTTATTCGTTCCACAAATTAAGAAATTCAATCCCAACCTTAACTGGTATATCATGAGAATAAGCAGCACAAGAGAATTCTTGAAGAATCTTATATTTCTTCAATATATGCCAATGTAATTCTCAATTAATTTTTTCGCATCATAATTGAACTGAGATAGTCAACCGGTCATGCCAACTAATATTTATTTCAGTAAACCTCTAGTTTACTTGTGGCTTGTGATTGCATCATCATGCTTATACTTGTGTAGTACAAATAGAAGAAAAGTCAGGTAACCTTTTATATTTACCCCGTATGATTATAGTAATATAAAGATATTTAATCTTCTTTTCATTTATAGTCTCAATATGCCAACCACTTTGGCTAATATATTTGTAAATCAAAATATTTCTTTTGAGACTTACTACAGTATTAATGTCATGAACAATTTCATTCATCTGGGTAGTAACAAATTAGTTCTTTGAGAGCACTTAACTGTTTTTGTACTACAACATTTTTTGTCACACCATCCATATAATGAATGTCTCCTTCACAAAGAGAATCATATTATAATAATTGTCATGTTCAAAATCATCATAAGTAAAATAATTTCTTGCTTTAATTTTGCTTTTAATAACTTTCATAAGGCATGACAAATTTTTTTTGGCGTATCACATGTATGCGACCAATGATATATTCATGTAACTACACAATAATATTCATTATCTTTCTTTGTCTCAAACCTCCCTTAGAGGTGAGTTGTAGTATTTATCCAACCATGCACAAGTACATTATTATGTATAATCTTTATCACATATATATTTTCACATTTACTTTCAGGAATGAGTATGCAATCTCAATATTTATCACAAGTCACATTATTTTCAAAGAATTTCTCCCTTTTTATAATTACCGTAGTGATAACTATTATTATTTTGGCCTTTCGCACGCCTACATTCATTGATCAACCACTTGTCTTTATTTAGACTTATCATGCACTGCTATCACATTCACTTCAAGAATGGAGCAAATCAAGTGGGACAAGCTTCATACTTTTTCATGAAAATTATATTATTTTTTCTTTAGTTATTATTATTATCAATATGGTGCATTATGACTCAAACCCAATGCCTTATTTTAGACTTATGGCGATTGAATTTAATTTGCATATGCGAACTTTCATTAGCTGAACCCAATCAAATAAAAAGTATCAAGCAAATATAGAAAAATACATAATCAATTAAAATCTACGTGTCCTTTGTGATAATTATCCCACTTTAAGATGGAAGAAATATGTGATAAAATAGAAAGAAAAAATACGTGCTCTCTCAAAAGTCTTCACTTCATATTTCTTAATATTAACACATAGGAACATAATACTTGTTATAGAAAAAATATTTATCGTTCTTTACACCAAAAATCCTTACATGATTTGATGAACTTTCAAGAAAATTTTTTCCGTAAAGCAAGTTTGTTCATGTATGGAAACATAAATAGCAAAGTGTAAAGAAATTTGAAAACTAATTAGAAAAGGCTAATCGTGATGACCGAATATATGCTGGCGTTGTACACCTTATACCGTCATCGTTCTTACCATATTATTAACATTAAATGACGCTACCCGCACTGGCCGCATCATAACAACTCAGTTGGCTAGAACTTCGTGCTGATAACGTATTATAAAATATAACTCAAAGTAACAATATGGAATAAGAAAAAACAAGCTAAGAGATATAAAGAGAAAGAGAGGAGAGATTCTTATTTCTTCTTCAATTGTGTGTATTTTCCTATCTATTACAAGAACTTTATATAGGCATGAAAAGTGAAGAAAAATATGTCATTAAATATGTCATTAAGCATAGAAATATGTCATTAGGCATTTGAGAAGATCATGGACGAAGAGTAGACATCCATCATAATTTAATTTTTCTTATAACATATGTAACAATATATCTTTATATTCTTTAATATTTAAATAATTTTAAATATTTCTTAGAATTTGAATATATTTTATTTGATTTTGTCTAAATTTCCCCTGGTAAATAGTCTATAGTCTTTGATGTTAGAAAGTATCAAACATAGAAAATGACGGTCCATATAAACAAAATTAGCACACAAGTAAATTTAAAATTAAATAAATAATATTAAAATAGTAGTACAGTGAAACAAATGTTGAATAAATAAAGAATGTTAAATATGATTTGTTAAGGTAATACCGAGAGAAGAAACGATTAGTTTGGCTTGGCACGTGTAGGCTAGGGAGCTACTAGATAGGAAAGAGTGTGATGATGAATAATGACTTAAGCTAGGGATAATTTAGCCACAGGGCTGAAATATTTATATATAAGCTACAATATGATTCCTTTTTGACCAGTTATATTACTCTATTTGAACTGAAATGACCAAACTGTCCTTTAGTTCTTAAGCAACCACGTTGACCTGCTGCTTGCTTATTCCCTCTTATAAGATAGTAAAAATACTTGTATTTTGATAAGATGTCAAGATATTGTTTCTAAATGTAAATAAAACAAAATTGTTGAATTAAAAAGCATGTCAATTTTCTGTGTCAATATAGTTGGTTTTCGTAAACAAACACTACTAGAAAAACAAAAATTACCAATAGATAAATTTTGTAATTAAATAGAATAATTCATCGCTAATCTCATTTAGCGAAGAAATAACAATAAATTATTAATAAAAATTGTTAGCTATTTTGTTTTTCCTTTTTGTGGTGAAAGGAACATAGCATCAAAGAAACCTCAAGGACTAAATACTAATTACTCGTTTGCAGCTTGACCTTAGATTTTGGGTATATTTTTTCAAAAAAGAAATTTGAAAACACTGTTTGTTCATGAAATATGAGTTTTTTTTTTAAAAAAAAAATTCAATTTTATTTTAACTTCCCAAAAACTAATTTATAGTAGCAGTTATTGAATAATTTTTTTTCTTCCGCTTAAGAAACTTCAAGTTTTCTTCCAAATAAAATGTAAGCTCACACACAACTTTAACTTCTAAAAATAAATTTTTAATACAAATGAAATGCTAGCTAATAATGGGTAAGAATTGTGAAAACAGTTGCCGCCAGTAATCCATAAACAAAGCGGAGTTAACAACAACGTGGCAAGTTGTGGATCGGTTGTAGGCTTGTAGCTGACACCAAGCTACCCACTACAGAAATATCGTATTGGCCGACAACTTGACACCCTACGATTCGTAGTCGTTAATAATCAACTCACTGTCCACCGTCCACGTGTCCCTATCTTCTACATAACACAAAACATCCCATTTTCACGGACCGTACGGTCACATCACGGTCGAACCATGTCGACCCCCACTCACTCAACCATCGTCGTAACAACAAAGCAACACAAACAAAATGGACTCCACATTTTCCGTAGAGTCAGAGTAGTAATTTAACAGTGCACTAGGGACATTTATGTCTTTTCAACTTCTTCCCTGTTTTTAATCATAAAAACATTAAAATATAAGTTAACACTAGTTTTGGAAGATATGCAAAGGATATTTGTCAGATAAATCTCTCTGCTTTAAAAAAGGCAGCTATACTCAGAGTAGCAGCTTTTAAAGTCGGCAAATGTGAAATCTCGCCGGAAATTTTACCGGAAAAACGCCAATATAAATTGCTACATTCATTTTTGACAGTATTTGTTTGAGAAATGCAAGATATACATCCGATCGGCGCCGGTGGAGGACGGTTTTTTGGTGGTGGAGGAGACAGGAGGCTAAGGCCTAGCCATCACCAAAACCAGCAAGTTTTGAAGTGTCCACGTTGCGATTCTCCAAACACCAAATTCTGTTACTATAATAACTACAATCTCTCTCAGCCGAGACACTTCTGCAAGAGTTGCCGGAGGTACTGGACTAAAGGCGGCGTCCTCCGTAACGTCCCCGTCGGCGGTGGCTGCCGGAAAAGCAAGCGTTCCAAGCCCAAGTCCAGTACTCTTCCTTCCAACGCTGCTGCCGAAGCTGCCGACGCCGCTTCGGAGGAACGTAAGTCAAACTCTAATTCTAGCAGTGAAAGTTCCAGCCTTACTGCAACCACACCCGCCGCGGCCGCGGCGAATACCACCGGTTCTGCCACCGCGGAGGTTGTGTCGGCAGCTTCTTCCAACTCAGCTTCAACTTTTCTTAACTTTCACGAATCCAACTTCTTCCTACCTAATAGTACGAACCAAAGCTTTGATCATCAGCCATTAATGGACCATTCTGCCGATGGCCAGATTTTCCAGGACATTGGGAACTTTACGAACTTTATGACGTCATCTACCGATCCTTCGGCAGTAGGGTTTAACATGATAGAAATTCCGTCGTACCGGTTGCCGGAAAACCAGAACTCAAATGAGCAGTGGAATCAACCGTCGAAGATGGTGGGAACAGATCAGCCGGTTAGTGACTTGAAGATGGAACAAATGGATACAAGTTTCATGAATCAAACGGGTCGGATCGAATTTGGGTTACAGCAGAACAAGGTAAACAACAGTGAGATCGCTCCACTGGATTGGCAAACTGGAGGTGGTGGTGGAGATGGAGAGCATGGGCTGTATGATTTAACGGGAACCGTTGATCAATCTTACTGGAGCCAAACACAGTGGGGTGAAAACGTGAAGGGGTGTATTGAAGAGGCAATTAAGTAAATAAAATGTTCGTTCAATTGCTTAGACTAATGCATAATCATTTTTAATGAATATCTTGGAATTTGGAATGGGAATGTAGTTGAAGAAGCTTTGTTGTTGGATTTAGACAATAAGATAGAATATTAGGGAAATGTACGGACAGCAGAGATTTAGGGTGCCGGGAAGTAAATGAGCAATGGAGTTGCGGGAAAGCCATGTGGTCGGCTGGTGAAGAGGGGGGACCGCCATTGGAGAAAGGGTCGAAAGTCCCTAGCTCGATTATGGTTGTAACGTGGCATGATATGTGCAAGTGGGAGTACGTGTGGTGATGTGATTGGACGTACAAGTGGGCCATCTAGGTCGGTTTGTCCTGTAGTTTGCAGTATTTCTCTCTCTAGAACTGACAAGCGTAGGGGGAAAGACTGCCAGAGGAAGTATCTTATTACTGTTTGATTTTGTGATTTAAAGGTTTTTGAAAGGGCAAATTCTACTTTATACATATTTATTCATATATTAAAAATTATGATATTATTAATGTTATATAGTTTGCTATGTATGGAAATAGTACTAAATAAGGCATATAATTAATATAAATAGTAGTAGTTATATACAGGTTGAAAATACTATCAAACAAGAATTAATAATATCAAAATTAATATATGTATTATTTTCCCTAATACATCCTACCAAACGACCCTTTAGAGTTTATGTGAACCTATTTTCATTTTGTTCCGTTCCAAAAAAAATGACCTCTTTATAAATTTAGAAACAATTTAGCTTAAACTTACAATTTTACCTTTAATGAGAAACTTTTATAACCACACAAATACTTTGTGTCCCTTTTTGATTCGTTTAGGGCCACAAATTTCAAAAGTCTTCATTTTTCCTTAAACTTCGTGTCCAGTCAAATAGGTTCACATAAATTGAAACGGAATGAGTAGCATGTTTGGCCAAGCTTAAAAAGTGCGATTTTTTCAAAGTTGAAGTGTTAGGCTAAGAGTTTAGGAAAAAAAATAATTTTGAGTAGAAACAGAAATAGTTTTGAAAAAGCATAAAAATGTAGCTTTTCCCCAAAAGCATTTGTCTGAAAAGCACTCTTGAGAAAATATTAACTGCTGCTCAAAAGTGATTTTCAACTTAATTAGTCAAACACAAATAGCTTATCACTAAAAGAAAAATACTTTCGAAAAAAAATATATTCCCAAAATAAGCTGTTTTTAGAAACTTTGCCGAGCGGGCTATGAAATAACCTGATTTAGAACCAAACTACCCTTGCAGGTTCAATCAAATTTTGTATAGTACTACTCCCTCTGCTTTAATTTATGTGAATTTATTTGATTGGACACTGAGTTTAAAAAAATAGAGAAGACTTCTGAACTTATGTAAAATGAGGCACATATATTTTGTGTGGTTATAAATTATTATATAAAGATAAATTATTTTTAAATAAGAAAAGATGTTATTCTTTTTGAAACGGACTAAAAAAATAATAATTTAAAGACAAATCGAAACGGATGGAGTATAATTTAACATAATATTTACCTTAGAAAAACAAAGGAAATGGAGTAGTGGCGACTGGGTAGAGGGTTGATGTGAAATGATGTAAGTGAGATGACATGTGATGTGACACATATATATATATATGGTGGGGACCGGCGAAGCTATTATAAGGAGGTGGTTACTACTTACTTGGGCGGGGTTTAAAATTAAGGGCGGGGTCCACCTAAACATATGGGGGGTATTATGTCACATGCATGTGCATAAGTGGTCTTCAGTCATACTCATGCATTTGTTGTGTCCCTTCCCTGACTCTGCCTCTGTACTGTACTTCTCCATTAAGCCCACACAAATCCTCCATTTTCTTCTTTTGCTTATTATATACTCCTATTTGGAAGTTGATAAGTTCGTTTAAAGATATCAATATTGTATATATAACAATGTATTATGAGAAAATATTTAAATATATCTTTAGTTATACTTTGGGTCCAAATATATCACGGTTGTACTACTATTTGTCCAATGTGGACATCCTATTCTACGTGGCACTAATATTTGATGAGGTGAATGACACATGGCATGCCACCTTAGTGCCCCTAATCCATATATAAAAGACTAAAATTTGAAATACAATATTTTTTATGGTAGCGGTAATGGTGGCAATAGTGGTGGAGGGGAAGAAAATTTTAATGGTGGAAAAAAAATTGAAGGGAGGGGTAAAATGGTTTAGGGGCGCTGAGGTGTCAAGCCATGTGACATCCACCTCATCAAATGTCAGTGCCACGTAGGATTGGATATCCATTTTGGACAAACTTAACGGAAAATGAGTATATTTGAACCAATAGCATAACGACAGGGGTATATATGAACCCAACGTATAACGAGTGGTACATTTAAACCTTTTCTGATAATACATGGGTAAATTCGACCCTTTTCCGATATTTCTAAAGCATGGAATATGCTAGCTCCTAATCTAACTAAATTTTCTATTCTTGTTTTACATATGGTTACGCGAGATTCTTTTTTCTATGTTGGGTTGTACATGATGCCATAATGTGCTATGAACATTTCATACAAATTATGAAGTAATATGAAGAAGCTGCTCACGAAAGAAGAGAAAAAACAAGAAACTTTTAAATTGACAGTTAATGAAGTCTTCCAAGTTCCAATCACATGGAGTACTTAAAAGATAAAAAAGAAAATTGTAAAATAATCAGCCAAAAAGAATCAGTAGAAATCACTCGGTTTTCCAACTTTAATGTTCTGCTCTGCTAAAAATCCGACTATAGCATTCTTTTGCCAACCTTTGAAACTCCTGAATCCACAGACAAAGAGCTATGATCAGTAATTCAGTAGTTGTTGAAAGGTATAACTAAGGCATATGCATACCAGTTGGAGAGAACAAATGTTCTTCACTACTGATAAAAGTATAGATTTTGTGGTCCAGTTTGATTGCATTATTTTCTCAATCGAAAGAGAACTTACTTGTTATCGATATGCACTAGTACTTCTCCTTGAGGAAAAGCTGCTCTAGTAGTGTCAAAAGCAACTCTAATTGCTTGTCTCCAGGTTCCACCCACCTCCAAATTGGCCTGGGCTTTGGACGGACCAGGGTCTTCCATCGGTAGCGAATATCCAGCAAGGAGGTGTCCAACCCAAACTCCATCTTTCCTGCATCATTCACATAATCACAGTGATAATATGAATACTGAACAGAAATAAACTAAGCTATGAGTCTTCACTAGAACCCAATCAATAAAAGAAAATGATTCGTTCTGCATTTCAACGGTTGCTGCAAACAGTTCAAGGAGAAGCCTCAGCTTATAGCAGCTAAAACGAAATCTTCCTCCTTTTTACCCAGGATGGCAAGATTGGTTTTCTTTTTAAAAAAAAAAATATATAGGGATTAGGAGGCCAAGGAACACAAGCAATTTCAAGTTTTCAACTTAAGCTGCTGTTTACTATACTTATGCTGAATATATAAAGCAGAATAGATTTCTTTAACATTTAGTTGAACTGTCATATTAGTAACATGCAATGTAATGTTCCTCGTAGAATCATCCAACTTTAGTAATATAGATGAAACCAAAGATTTGGATGGTAGTAATCAAAGACCATATGAATGAACTACTTCCTTCGTGCATTGATTAGAATTCTCAACCAGAGGGCCTGTTTATTTGCTAATTAATTTTCAATAACTGTTTCAGGTGACAGAGGAACTCACCGAACAATATCCATATGCCGTGGTACGTAATGTCCCCCACCAATTCCTAGGAGGATTTTTTGCTGACTACCATTTCTGCATTTCATTGAAAGTAAATATTAACGATTGGCGAAAGGTCAAAAATAACAATTTATTTTTCTCTGAAGGATCATATTTCTTCTTTCTTTTTTTCCCCTGATGAAGAAATGACAATTTCTTTCAGAGGTTATGTCCTTTCGGGCCTAAAATTATTCTAGCCATGAGATCATATTGCACTCCGAAACAAGAAATGCAGATGAAAGCTACACAAGTTTTTATGTAGACAGGTGAACCTCTTAGCCTCAAAATCGTTCATGATGTCGGACTTTGTAAAGAAAAGCACGTGCAATGGTTGAAGCATAAATAGTCACAGTATAACCAAGATAAAACTATTTGGCCTGAACCTGTTCCAATCCCCCACTGCAGCTCCTCCGTTGAGCCCCAGTCCTTTCCAAACTAACTGCAAACACCACAATTGAGGAAAGGTTACAAAGATCCAAGAACGAGGGAAGAATTCTAACATTATTTTAGTAAAATGGGAATTAAAAATATTCCTCTGATTTTTTTTCTTTTTTCGCCAGTAAAAGCCTAATATTGTAGTAAATGATTAAATGCAGCACTGGAAGGACTCAATTGACCTTTCAGATACCAAATGCGTGATTACACATAAGACCACGGTTTGAGGTTTGCTTGCTCAGAAAAAAGATGAAAAACAAGATAAATAATGCAAAAGAGTTTGTGTAGTAAAAGGATACCCAACTAAGGCAATGGCTTGTGCGGCATCTTGTCTCTTCCAGTATTCCTCTGTGCTACCTACACAGTACACAATAAACAGCGATCAATTGATTAGATAGAAACATAGCCATTTATCCTTGCCCTTAGATGATGTATATCACTCTAACTACGAAAGAAAATACGCAAGTTTTGTTTTTCGATAAGCAGAAAAAACTCGATATTGTTATATTATTACAGAGGGTCAAATAAAATTTATGAAAGCATGACAGGTAAAAGAAAGTATACCAATCTCTACAAACATTGTGGGTGCATTAGTTAAAGGTCCATGATGTGTAGCTTCCAATGTGACCTACACCACGGAATAGATATACTATAAAGGTTCGCACATGGAGATGCTTACGCTACAAAGTAGATAAAATTAGAAAATATCAAAAGGATTGCACTTTGGTACTGAAATAAAAATCCACGCTGCAAGGAAAAGATCAATTCTAAGTTCAGATCCAGTATCGAAACATAATCGTTAAAAGCAGTATCAATGATCAGCAGTCAAATAAAGAAACTGTATATATTGATGATCTCTTTGCAATTGATAAAATTTCATGTTTTCAACTTCGTCCATCTTTTTTCATACTAATGTTTCTAATACTTAGTAGCCTTTTAAGACAATCCTTTTTGACGAGAGATAATCTCACAAAATATTTACATGAAAAAGTGTCACCTTTCGTCGCTATTACATTAGTTTTATATTACAAATATCAAAGTGTATAATTTTAGATGTATACTTATACTGCTAATATCAAATCTTACGAATAATCATTTTATTTGTTACTACATCTCCCTTTGCCCCATGTTTATTATCTCACTTCAGTGCTAAGTGGAGTCCAGAAGTACTAAGAATGGTCAACTACTTCATATCACTCGAAAAAGGGGAAACTGTGGTTTCCCATCAAGCAAACATGGAAGTTATCAACCCCATTAATTTTGCAATTCTATAAATGCCAGTCATGACAAAACAAACCCAGTAGTT